AAAACAGTTCAAAATATAATATTGTCAAAATAGATATTGATCAATCGATATTGATTCTCAAGTGTTATCTTTAATAACTTGAAAGAGCAACAAATACATCAAATTTTTATATTTTCGTATATATCTCGATATTGACGTATTTAAGAGCAAAAGTGCAAGAGAGCAATATTGTTAATAATAAAATTTGCAACAATTTTTGTTATAAAAGTTTTCTTATAACAAGCTCCAATTCTCAAGTGGTACCTTTAATAACTTAAAAGAGCAACAAATTCATATAATTTTCATATTTATCTCGATATTGACGTATCTAAGAGCAATAGTGCAAGAGAGCAATATTGTTGATAATAAAATTTGCAACAATTTTTGTTATAAAAGTTTTCTTATAGCAAGTTCCGATTCTCAAGTGTTACGTTTAATAAATTAAAAAGCAACAAATTCATACAATTTTCATATTTATCTCGATATTGACGCATCTAAGAGCAAAAGTGCAAGAGAGTAATATTGTTAAGAATAAAATTTGCAACAATTTTTGTTATAAAAGTTTTCTTATAACAAGTTCCGATTCTCAACTGTTACTTTTAATAAATGAAAGAGCAACAAATTCATATAATTTTCATATTTATCTCGATATTGACGTATCTAAGAGCAAAAGTGTAAGAGAGCAATATTGTTAAGAATAAAATTTGCAACAATTTTTGTTATAAAAGTTTTCTTATAACAAGTTCCGATTCTCAACTGTTACTTTTAATAAATGAAAGAGCAACAAATTCATATAATTTTCATATTTATCTCGATATTGACGTATCTAAGAGCAAAAATGTAAAAGAGCAATATTGTTGATAATAAAATTTGCAACAATTTTTGTTATAAAAGTTTTCTTATAACAAGTTCCGATTCTCAGGTATTACTTTTAATAAATGAAAGAGCAACAAATTTATACAATTTTCTTATTTATCTCGATATTGACGTATTTAAGAGCAAAAGTGCAAGAGAGCAATATTGTTAAGAATAAAATTTGCAACAATTTTTGTTATAAAAGTTTTCTTATAACAAGTTCCGATTCTCAAGTGTTACCTTTAATAAATGAAAGAGCAACAAATTCATACAATTTTCATATCTATCTCGAAATTGACGTATCTAAGAGCAAAAGTGCAAGAGAGCAATATTGTTAAGAATAAAATTTGCAACAATTTTTGTTACAAAAGTTTTCTTATAACAAGTTCCGATTCTCAAGTGTTACCTTTAATAAATGAAAGAGCAACAAATTCATACAATTTTCATATCTATCTCGAAATTGACGTATCTAAGAGCAAAAGTGCAAGAGAGCAATATTGTTAAGAATAAAATTTGCAACAATTTTTGTTACAAAAGTTTTCTTATAGCAAGTTCCGATTCTCAAGTGTTACTTTTAATAAATGAAAGAGCAACAAATTCATGCAATTTTCATATTTATCTCGATATTGACGTATCTAAGAACAAAAGTGTAAGAGAACAATATTGTTGATAATAAAATTTGCAACAATTTTTGTTATAAAAGTTTTCTTATAACAAGTTCCGATTCTCAAGTGTTACTTTTAATAAATGAAAGAGCAACAAATTCGTACAATTTTCATATTTATCTCGATATTGACGTATCTAAGAGCAAAATTGTAAGAGAGCAATATTGTTGATAATAAAATTTGCAACAATTTTTGTTATAAAAGTTTTCTTATAGCAAGTTCCGATTCTCAAGTGTTACGTTTAATAAATGAAAGAGCAACAAATTCATACAATTTTCATATTTATCTCGATATTGACGTATCTAAGAGCAAAATTGTAAGAGAGCAATATTGTTAACAATAAAATTTGCAACAATTTTTGTTATAACAATTTTCTTATAGCAAGTTCCGATTCTGAAGTGTTACTTTTAATAAATGAAAAAGCAACAAATTCATACAATTTTCATATTTATCTCGATATTGACGCATCTAAGAGCAAAATTGTAAGAGAGCAATATTGTTGATAATAAAATTTGCAACAATTTTTGTTATAAAAATTTTCTTATAACAAGTTCCGATTCTCAAGTGTTACTTTTAATAAATGAAAGCGCAACAAATTCATACAATTTTCATATTTATCTCGATATTGACGTATCTAAGAGCAAAATTGCAAGAGAGCAATATTGTTGATAATAAAATTTGCAACAATTTTTGTTATAAAAGTTTTCTTATAGCAAGTTCCGATTCTCAAGTGTTACTTTTAATAAATGAAAGAGCAACAAATTCATACAATTTTCATATTTATCTCGATATTGACGCATCTAAGAGCAAAAGTGTAAGAGAGCAATATTGTTAATAATAGAATTTGCAACAATTTTTGTTATAACAATTTTCTTATAGCAAGTTCAGATTCTCAAGTGTTACTTTTAATAAATGAAAGAGCAACAAATTCATACAATTTTCATATTTATCTCGATATTGACGTATCTAAGAGCAAAATTGTAAGAGAGCAATATTGTTGATAATAAAATTTGCAACAATTTTTGTTATAAAAGTTTTCTTATAACAAGTTCCGATTCTCAAGTGTTACTTTTAATAAATGAAAGAGCAACAAATTCATACAATTTTCATATTTATCTCGATATTGACGTATCTAAGAGCAAAATTGTAAGAGAGCAATATTGTTGATAATAAAATTTGCAACAATTTTTGTTATAAAAGTTTTCTTATAACAAGTTCCGATTCTCAAGTGTTACCTTTAATAACTTAAAAGAGCAATAACTTCATACAATTTTCATATTTATCTCGATATTGACGCATCTAAGAGCAAAAGTGCAAGAGAGCAATATTGTTAATAATAAAATTTGCAACAATTTTTGTTATAACAATTTTCTTATAGCAAGTTCAGATTCTCAAGTGTTACTTTTAATAAATGAAAGAGCAACAAATTCAGACAATTTTCATATTTATCTCGATATTGACGTATCTAAGAGCAAAAGTGCAAGAGAGCAATATTGTTAACAATAAAATTTGCAACAATTTCTCACTTTGTATTTAAACCCACCGATTTTTTACCATTTAGTCGACATAGGTTGGCAACGCTGGTTGGTGCTAACTTCATTTTTGACTTTGACAGGTATTTGTTGTTATTTTTATTAACGCAAATAAAGTCGTTTAAATCCGACTTTTTTATTAATTAATCCAATTTTAACATGGTGTAACTCATCATTTTAGGCATGGTAAAAATCGAGTGTGATTTATAAAAATTAAAAAAAAAAACATAACCTCACTTTTTTTAGATATCGTTTTAAGCGAAAATAATAACATTTGAAGCAAGAAATGGATGAGAATCAATTAAAGGATGTTTTAAAAAGTCGTTTCAATTTCAACACCTTCAAATCCAACCTCCAAAAAGATGCAATCATTAAAATCGTTCAAGAAAAAGCGGACGTTTTGGTTTCGATGCCTACGGGCTCGGGAAAATCGCTTTGTTACCAACTCCCCGCCGTGTTAAAAGAGAGGCAAACAACGTTGGTGTTTTCGCCGCTTTTAGCGTTAATAAAAGACCAAATCGATCATTTAAAAGCGATTAAAATCCGAGCGGCGTCTTTAAACTCAAAAACTTTAAAAGGAGAGCGCGAAACGATTTTAACTGATCTAAAAAGTGTCTCACCTAACATTAAGTTATTGTATATAACCCCTGAGCAGGCTTCAACTCAAACTTTTAAGGAGTTATTTCAAAATTTGGTTAAATTTGATAAAATTGCGTATATTGTAGTTGATGAAGCGCATTGTGTGAGCGAATGGGGGCACGATTTTCGGCCGGATTATCTCAAATTAGGCGAATTAAGGAAGGGGAATGAGATCCCTTTTGTTGCTTTAACCGCGACGGCCGGGGCGGAAGTCACAAAAGACATTATTTATAACCTAAAGTTATCAAAGAATTTAAAAATATTTAAATCGTCGTCGTTTCGCGAAAATTTATTTTACGACGTCTTTTTTATCAACATCCTCGACGATCCTTACTTGCATTTAAAACAATTTATCGAAAAACATTTATATTTTGATAAAGAAATTGACGTGGAGAATAAAAAAAAATCTTGCGGGATCATTTATTGCAGAACTCGCGATCAAACCGAGGTTTTATCGACGAAATTAAATTCTTTAGGGGTGAAATCGACGGTTTATCACGCTGGGTTAAACCATAAGAATCGAATTGAGTGCCAAGAATCGTGGCAAAGCGGTTGCGTTCAAGTTATTTGCGCCACAATTAGTTTTGGGATGGGAGTTGATAAAGCGTCGGTGCGTTTCGTGGTTCATTGGGGGGTCCCAAAAGATCCCGCGTCTTATTACCAAGAATCCGGGAGAGCTGGACGCGATGGAAACAACTCGTTCTGTCGATTATATTATAACCGCTCCGATCGAAAAGCCGTCGAATTCTTGATAACCCAAGAACTCGGGAGATCCAAAGATAAAAAACAACGCGAAAATAAAGCCAAAAACGCGATGAAATCGTTCGCAAAAATCGTAGAATTTTGCGAATCCCCAAACGAGTGTCGCCATAAATTATTTGCAAAACACTTTGGGGATGATTTTAAACGATGTAAAACTAAATGCGACGTTTGCGTTGATCCTAAAAAGGTCGAAAAAATGGTTGAGTTATATCTAACCAAAAGCATTCAATTTAATTCGCTCCCCCAAGACATTAATGATATGAATTATGACGACCTTTATGAGGGCGGGCGAAAAGCTGCTGATAATTACGATAATAACGAAAACGATGAACGTAACATTTACGAAGAAAAAGCCAAAAAAGAAACTACCGAGCTAATTAGGAAACAATTTCAACTAAGGCGGAGTGCCCAAGAAGTATCAAAAGACACCATCGATAAGTTATTCGCGAAAAATTCTAAAGTTCAAGCGGCCGGGTCGACGAAAACTAAAGTTAAAGGGCTCACAATCGCAGCTAGGGAGCAATACTTTTCGAAAATCACCGAGGTTTTGATCGAAAATTATAATCAATGCGTTGAGGAGAAAGTTCTTGATGCAATCGATATTGAGGAATGTACCAAGGAATTAGAATACTCTACTTTTACCTCGGTTACGACGCTAATGATGTATCGAAACGCTTCAGCTAAATTGGTAAGTAAATGCTTTTCTCGAAATTGACGCATTTGAGAGCAAAAATGATAAGATTAGGTACAACTTTCGTTCGAAAAGTTTTTTTGTAACATCATTAGATTCCCGAATACTACCACGACGAAGTAGTAAAATAACGAAATTCATCAAATTGTCATATTTTCGTATCTATCTCGATATTGACGCATCTGAGAGCAAAAATGAAAGAGAGCAATATTG